ACTAACCCCCTCCCCGGCCGGCCGGGGTTGTTTGCAGGTGGTGACGGACACCAGCTCGATGCGACGGTCGTTTTCCACCATCCGGGACAAGCGCACCAACAGCTCCTGGCTGGATGAGTTCTCCATGGAGCGCAGCAGTGACAACACCTACAAGTCCCGCCGGCGCAGCTACCACTCCTCGCTCCAGCTCTCCGCCCGCCGCCTCAACGCTGATTCGGGTGAGTGAGGGCGAGTGGCCCCATCCCACACCAATGCCAAAAAAAACCCCCAAAAAAACCCCCCAAAAACCCCAACAAAAACTCCAACAAAACAAAAAAAGCCAAAAAACAAACAAAAATCCCAGCCAAGCATCCTCTGCTCCTGGAGAGGGGACGGTGGGAACTGATGGGGATGTCTTGCAGGCCACCGGTCGGACGGGCATCGCTCGGGTGGCAGGGAGCGGGGGCGATCCAAAGAACGCAAGCACTTGCTGTCGCCCGACATCTCGCGCTGTAACTCAGAGGAGAGGAGTCCCCAGGCGCAGGACGAGTCGCCAGAGCGGCGGCGGGAATCCCGGTCACCCAGCGAGGGCAGGTCGCAGACACCCAACAGGCAGGTGGGTGATGAAAACCCTTTCTAAGCACAAAGGGAGGCGGAGAAAAAGCTCCTTGCCCCAAACAGGGAAGAGAAGCCCCAAGCTTGGGAGCTCTGCACCATCTCTCCTCCCTGTGGTGGCATCGCCCCATGTGCCCTGTGAGCAGAGCAGGTTGGGGATGCTCAGACACCCTGCAGAGAATTTGGGGAAGAGGGCTGGATCTCCATCCTGACCCCCTCACCGCCATGGCATCCTTTCCCTGCCAGGATCAGGGTGTCCCAGCTCTGGCTGGAGATTCCAGTGCTCAAGCCCGTGGAGATGCTGCCTGCAGGGACCAACAGCCGGCTGTCCCCGCAGCGGCCACCGAAAGCTTTTTGTTTTTGATCACCAAGAGCAGACACATCCCCGTCCCTGCAGCAGACCTCGAGGCAGGGAAGGGGTGTGCGAGGGTGCAGCGGGGCCTCGTCCGAGCAGGAGGATGCTCCAGGGAGCCCCACGGCTCGGATGGAGTTGGAGCAGTTTTGTCCTTGGCGACTCAGGGAGCCAGGGCAGAGGAGTTCTGCTCCCTGCAGTGCTGTGTTTCAGCATATAAAGAGGGGGTTTTGGATGCAGTGCTAAGCACAAAATGGAGCAAGAGAAGAGATTATTTTTCTTTGTTTCAAACACAAAAAAGGTGAAGGGTAGATATTTAATTTAATAACTGAAATTTAAAAATTAAAATATTTAAGATATTTTCGATTTTTTAATAATAT